CACCCTCTAAAGCGTCCTGACTTCACTCGTCCAACACCCGCTAAAATCAATCAACTGCATCAGTTACAACACAAAATCAATCAGCAACAAGAAGAGTTCCACATACTCAGAAATTTCTGTCAAGAGACAGAGACCGAATTGATTGAAAAAATTAAACAGTTAGCTGAGTCTGAATTAACTTGTAAAGAAATGAGTGAGAAATATAATCAATGTGATGACCTACTCGGTGAGAGAGTTTCATTATGCGATCAGGTTCATTCTTTAGAAAGGGAAAAGCAATCACTCAAGAAGGATGTTACTGCCCTCATTGGTTACAAAGATAAATGCGAGAATCTCCAAGACATGGCCGATGAGCTAGCTAGCACTGCTAAGGGAAACCAAACATTAATAATGAATGCTGAAAAGTTACAACTCGAATTAACTTCTGAGAAAGATAAAATGTTCCAGCTTGAATCAGAGAAAACTATTCTAGAAAGAACTAACATGGGATACCAAGCTTCTGTACAATTACTTGGACAAGAAAAACAGGTTATACAGGAAGAATTGGAATTAGTCAGAGAGAGATTAGTTCAGCTGGAGGGAGATATCTCTGCTCTAAAGAAATTTTGACTGAATTATTATTGTGTGAGTGTATTGTGTGAGTGTATTGTGTGAGTGTATTGTGTGAGTGTATTGTGTTGAGTGTATTGTGTGAGTGTATTGTGTGAGTGTATTGTGTGAGTGTATTGTGTGAGTGTGAGTGTATTGTGTTGAGTGTAATTACTTTTGTGTGACAACGATTATTAACTAATAAATTTTACTCTAATATGCTTTGTCATTTAATGAGGGAACATAATTGAATCGATGCCATACCAAGGTACGACTCATGTTAATACGTAAAGTACAACCTCTAAGTGTAAGCGACATAAGTAATTAATGGGTTATTCGTGGTAAGGTGTCCCAATTAAGCTGAGTTTCAGAGTAACTCTAAACTGCCCCTGTTGCGTTTCGTTGTAAGCTGAATACAATCAATTACTTTTCAAGTTATATCCGATTTTGTAATAACGGGGTTCACTGTATTTCGAGATTGTATTTGTTCTATTCACAAATAATAATGGTGAATACATCTAAGATATCTTTATTTTGCTATATTGCATTACTACAGTCTACCTAAATATGGATGGCAGGTAACCAGAGAATTCATACTACGAAATCATTACCCGAATGTTCCATACAATCTAGGATGATAAATGGAAAGAATGATTTGTCTCTTCTGCCATGCACTTTTGTATCTAAATCAGCGAGCAAAATCTCTCGCGAAGTTGTATCGTAATACTATTGTATCTATTGACCTATTACATTATACAACATATAATCTCATATAGGATGTGCTCTCATTAACAGTCCATAATTGTATTTAATTCGTTAATGAAGATTACTTCGATTAAATAGCCTCCATACACTATGGATAAGTACGAAATTCGAAATTTCCATATGACGTTTACGTTTACTTATCTAACCAATTCTACTTTCAAATATTATTATTTCTAACCCCTTTCCCGTAATAGATCATCGTTTCACAAACTATTCCAAGAAGTTAACCAATCTCTGTACAGAAGTGTAGCTACTCTCTCTGTGAATAGTAAGCTAAGCTTCTTGTAGATATTTGCCGGAGCATTTACCTGTAGAAGTAACGAGGCACTTTTATTGTATAAAATGCTTGTATATTTTTGCAAAGCTTGTTCTCACATTTGATATTACACATTTACATCTACATCTTTATATTACGTATTGCAGCGTTTCTTTTCAATTATGTGTTGTTTTTCGTGTGATTGTTGTTAATTGTGTTTAATATGAGAATCCTTAATTAATATAATGACAAATCATTGATTAGTTTTAAACTTATTTATCTGGACTAACTCTTTACAATTCTGATAATTTACTGCTCAGATAACGGGATTTACGACTAACAGGACATGTAAGTACAAGGACATCTAACTAACGGGACATACGGATAACGGGACATATACCTAAAAGGACATGTAGCTAAAGGGACATGTAACTAATCGGACATACGACTAACGGGACATGTAACTAAAGGGAGATGTAACTAACGGGACCTACGACTAACAGGACATGTAACTACAAGGACATGTAACTAACGGGACATACGACTAACGGGACATGTAAGTACAAGGACATCTAACTAACGGGACATACGGATAACGGGACATATACCTAAAAGGACATGTAGCTAAAGGGACATGTAACTAATCGGACATACGACTAACGGGACATGTAACTAAAGGGAGATGTAACTAACGGGACCTACGACTAACGGGACATGTAACTAAAAGGACATGTAACTAACGGGACATACGACTAACGGGACATGTAACTAGAGGGACATGTAACTAACCGGACATACGACTAACGGGACATACGACTAACAGGACATGTAACTAAAGGGACATGTAACTAACAGGACATACGACTAACGGGACATGTAACTAACGGGACATACGACTAACAGGACATGTAACTAGAGGGACATGTAACTAAAGGGACATGCAACTAACTATTTGTTACCCTTTTTATAATTGGTGTTTCCTTATGCAAGTAAGAAAGTTTATTTGACAAATGATTAGTCAACTTTGAGCAACTTTTTCACAAAGTCTTAACTTCCTTCTATTTCACAATTACCAGATATTGCCTCAACAGACGTAGTTCCCCATTCACTAATTCCCATTACATACATAATATTTGTATTAAAGGACTTAGAGAGGAGGAATTTACATATTTTCATTTTTTCAGTTTCCACTTTGTCTTTCGCAAGGTAAAAATAAATATGTCCCGTTAGTCATAGGTCCTGTTGGCCAAATGTCCCGTTAGGCATATGTCCTGTTAGTTGCACGTCCTGTTAGTCACGTGTCACATTAGATGCATGTCCTATTAGTCGCATATCCCGTTAGTTGCATGTCCTATTAGTCACATGTCCTGTTAGTCACATGTCCCGTTAGTTACATGTTCCGTTAGTTACATGTCCCTTTAGTTACATGTCCTGTTAGTCACATGTCCCGTTAGTTACATGTCCCGTTAGTTACATGTCCCTTTAGTTACATGTCCTGTTAGTCACATGTCCCGTTAGTTACATGTTCCGTTAGTTACATGTCCCTTTAGTTACATGTCCCGTTAGCTACATGTTCCGTTAGTTACATGTCCCTTTAGTTACATGTCCTGTTAGTCACATGTCCCGTTAGTTACATGTCCCGTTAGTTACATGTCCCTTTAGTTACATGTCCTGTTAGTCACATGTCCCGTTAGTTACATGTTCCGTTAGTTACATGTCCCTTTAGTTACATGTCCCGTTAGTTACATGTCCCATTAGTTACATGTCCTGTTAGTCACATGTCCCGTTAGTTACATGTCCCGTTAGTTACATGTCCCTTTAGTTACATGTCCTGTTAGTCACATGTCCCGTTAGTTACATGTTCCGTTAGTTACATGTCCCTTTAGTTACATGTCCCGTTAGTTACATGTCCCGTTAGTTACATGTCCCATTAGTCACATGTCCCGTTAGTTACATGTCCCTTTAGTTACATGTCCTGTTAGCAGGGTTGGGTTCAAGTACAATTGTACTTAAGTACACATTTTTGAGTACTCCTTATATATGACATGCTGGTTATATGAACTTGTTCGAATATATGACATGCTGGTTTTACGGCCATTATTTCCAGTTCTCGACGATGTTATTATGCCCTGCATTGACTGTACTACTTGTTTAATCTATTTATGAATGTTTTCTAGTATAACTATTCCACTCCCCTATGCATTATAAGCTCCATAATATTTCAAATATTTAAATCATAATTCTAAGCTCCTAACAAATATACAAATCGATTAACATACACTATAATTGTTTCCAATCACTTCTTAGCATTTCTAATGTTTCCAGGTTCTGTTAGATAGGAATTTATAGTGATAAGGTCTGGGGTTATTGACGAATTGAGAGAATTCTGTTAGAAAATTGTACAGAGGTGAGTGACGAATTGACACTATTCTGTAAGAAAATTGAACAGAGGTGAGTGACGAATTGACACTATTCTGTTAGAAAATTGAACAGAGGTGAGTGAGGAATTGACACTATTCTGTTAGAAAATTGAACAGAGGTGAGTGACGAATTGACACTATTCTGTAAGAAAATTGTACAGAGGTGAGTAACGAATTGAGAGTGAAGAGCTGTGCCATCCGATGGAAAAGTAAATGAAACATTCAGAATGAAATTTATTCTTCGTATTTATACTCTTTTTACCAGTGCAGGTGTTTCAGGCGCTGCAGGTGGTGTAGGCATTGCAAACATTTTTGTTGTGGCAGGTTGTAACTAACGAAATACTACAGTTAATTCTAAACATGTTGTGACACCTGGAACTCACCAACAAGTATATATACGATGACAATTGAGTATAATAATTAGCATTTAATCTTCTTTTCTTCCTCGCATATTTTATTTCTACTTTGCTTTAGACTGACTCGGTTAATTGCTGCATTTGATAGCTACCTTCAACTCTCGTGATTTAGTTGAAAGATACGAAGTCCAAGTCATGTCTCCTCACAGCTAAGTCATCAATCAGCATCCCTGAGACAGCACAACAGATTTCTTCATTATTTTGTGCAATTATTTATAATACAAACTCTTGTAATAATCATTAAGACTTTAATAATAAATGTTCTCATATTTTTGAGTAATCGGCTAAACCTTAATCACTGAGCACATCAATTAGACTAATAAGTTTAGTCATATAGAGCCTGCTATTTAAAGTACTGGCCTTGAACCTATAAGACCCTCGTTTAATTATTTTAGGAACATTTCGTTAAATTATATCAACATTACCTTGTAAGGACACTGTTAGCACATCAGGTTTAACTACCACAAGAATATTGTCATTATTTCGGCATACAGTTACTGGATCTATAAACTAGATATTGCTATTCCTATATTTGCGTGTCATTTTGCAATAAGAAGGCTCTGACGAGGTTCGAACTCGTGACCCCTGGTTTACAAGACCAGTGCTCTAACCACTGAGCTACAAAGCCAACATAATATTTTCTGCCCTCTTCTTCTCCTTTATATATCCTTCCAAACATTCTTTGTTTGTATTTTATTTGTTACCAATTATGTTTCCCAATTCTTATCCGGCATTATTTGTTCTTTCTTTCTATTTGTAATCAATTTTGTATTCATTTAGTCATTGCTTGTCTTTGAAACTAGTCTAAGCTATTCCTTATTTCTTAATCAGATTTGTCTTGTAAATTTGCATAATTTGCTTTCAGTCATTTTATATTTTCCTCAAATCTATTTAAATGATTTTGCATAACATTTGTGTATTATCGAATCATTTGTTGTAGTTACGCAACTTTACTAGAAATTGCTTGGTTGTATTCTTCCCTATATTCTTTTTTGGAATTTTCTATAATTTCCCGTTTAGAGCAATACGCATATATGCATTTATATACATATACATAACAGATAGTTTCTATTCTTTCTAGTAACTTTTAGAATGACAGAAGTTATATCACATGAAGACCAAACTCTGACCAATCAGGACAGTGTGTTTCAATACGAGTCTGTGTCCTCTCCGGGGGATCAATTCAAGGAGGACGATATGTTTGCTTTATACGAACAGATCGATAAACTGAGGGGAGCATTCCAGAAAGACTTCGCTTCCAAACACCCTTGGTTCCCAATTCTAGAGGAACTTGTTAGGACAGAGGACCAATATCTAACAGATATAGACTCTATTATCAAAGTTAGATTTATATTTTGCTTGTTTACTATATTTGTTTATTTATTTGTTTGTTTGTTTAGAGTTATGTTCCTAAGTTTGAACTTATGGAGACTGAAATTCCAGAAGTTATAACGTCGGAAACTTCAAAAATAATTTTCATAAACTTGGAAGAAATTCGAGATTTTCATAAGTAAGTTACTAACGAAATATAATTCTCCTTAAAATATAAGTTACACTTTATCACACCTTTTTAGAGGATTCTATCGTTCTCTGAAACCTATCCTAGCTCAGGAATCTCTAATGAAGGTTGCTAAATTATTCCAGGATCAGGTATGTGTTTATTATTAATCTATTTTGTTGATTTATTTACATTTATCATACTTAGGCGGATAACTTTAAGATTTATTCTGAATATTGCTCTAATCATTCTAACTCTGTTGAATTGTTAGTTAAGCTAACAAAACACAAAACAGTAGATTCTTGTCTGAAGGTATTCCTCCTCTTATTATTATTATTATTATTATTATTATTATTATTATTATTATTCTTAGTCTGTACAAACAATCCTTCAGCATCCTCTCAATCTTTCTACTTATCTTCTTAAACCGGTACAGCGTGTTCTCAAATATAAATTACTCCTACAGGTATTATCATATAATCTATTATCATTTATTGTTTTTGTTATTATTTGTATTTGTTACTAGAGTATGGTTAAACACGCAGCTGATGACAGTGATGAGAAAGCTCTCCTGCAATCAGCTGTTGACAGAATGGATTCTATTACAAAAGAAATAAACGAACTACAAGCTATTTCTGAAAGCAAGCAATGCCTATTGGTAACAACCAATCAGGTGTAGCCATTAGTTCTATTTTTAGATTATTTATTGTTTTAGGAAATACACGAAGGACTAGATACTACACCGGTAGGTGATTGGTCAATTTATTGGTCTCTTCTCTCAGATTTCTGTAAATATATTCTAATTATTTTCAATCTGTTATTTAGTATGAAGGCCCTCTTACGAAATACGGAACTATTGATCTACAGGTAATTTCAATCTACGAGGTGCTTTATTACATGCATTCATTAGTTTCAATTAGGATACAATGCTAGACCTTAAGGCAGCTAAAAGCAGACAAGAACGTTTGATAGTTCTGATGGACGATGCTCTGCTGATATGTAAGGTACGAGAGAAGCAGGTTAGGAATGTCAGGACATTAGGAAGGTCAGCAAAAGGCAAGAGAAGTGCTCCGTATAAATTCAAGGATTTTATTAAGGTACATTCATTTATATTACTTGAGTATTAACTTTATATTTTGATTGGTTAGTTGACAGAGCTTACGTTTACACAAGACGACCAGTTCAGAGGTGACGATCAAGCATTCCTAATCCACAAACAGCAGTCAGGGAAACAGATGATTACATATTGTCTCAGAGCTAGATCTATTGTTAATAAGAATCACTGGGTTAGTACCCTGCAGGATAAAGTAATAGCTTCATTTAACTTTGCTCCTGACGTAAGTTATTGTTGTTATTGTTATAAGATTATATTTATTGTTATTTATTTATTAGTTATTTGAACAAATAATGGGAACACTCAAATACTCTACATCATCTCTCAACTCAGAAAGTTAGAATATTCGTAACTTTTATTACAAACCAAATTTATTGAATTACTTGTAATTAGGCGCTACAAACAGTCCGATACCACAAATGCGAAAGAATCTAAAACTTATTCCTTTATTTCCAAGCGTTGATGCAGAGGTTAGTTATTAGATATACATTCCATATCTTAAACCTCGGAGGCTATAATTAATTTTATAATATTTGTAGAATGATGATAAGGAACATTCTTTTGATGAGGACAGACGGCCATACACTATGTACGATTATATTGTGAGTAATGTTTGTTTGTTTGCTAGTTTGTTTCCTTGGTTACTTATATATTTATTCTTTGTTTAGGATTCTACAAAAAGTGTCCCTAATTTCAGGCGGGAATCATCTGATATTCTTTGTGAGAGAGAAAATGTAACAGAAATGACAGAAAATGATAAAGTACAGTTTCAAATCAGAAAATTCTCACAGAAAAATATGAAGTTAGTTGAATACTCTAATTTGATTGGTTAGGTTATAATATATTTAACACCTAGGACCAGACCTAGAATGCCTACTCCGTCTCATCCAGTCAAAGTGTCAGATTCCGCTAATGGCAGGGATTCTGGTATTTCAGAATCTCACGAATATTCCAACGCAGGAATAAAGCAGGAAATGAGAGAGCTGTTATGTACTATGCAACAAGATGTGAGTTTGTTTTGTATATTGGCTTGTTTATATTTATTTGTTTAATTCTTAGTATGCTACTTTTACCGGTACCACAGGAGAGAGGGACTCTGGAGTAGAGGAAGGGGAGGCTCCGTCTCAGCTAGACTTTATGAGTCTTAAGAGGAAGCACGAGGGATTGGTTAGTTCATTTGTGTATTATTCATAACAATTATTTAATTGCAACACATAGGTACAATCTCTGGTTAAGAATTATATGAATGTTGTATCACAACAAACAGCTCCACCGACACGACAGCTAAGTAACCCTCAGAAATTCTCTACCGATTTCGTTTACCCCGATAAATCCAAGATTACAGCTGGATTACAGGTTGTTGCTTCCCCTAATAACTCCCCCACCAAACCTACACTTTCCCCCAAGCCCCCTCTCTCCCCCAAGCCCTCTCTCTCCCCCAAGCCCCCAGTCTCTAAGATTTCGCCTTCTGAAAGGAACATGAAATGTAAATCCCTACCGAGGTCAGCTGTAAATCCCAGTTTCCCTTGTGACTCCGAGATATCTGACCACACCTCCTCGGCCTCTGACAGTCTTCCTGCCTCAGATTTCACCAGTCCTGTCCCAGATATCACCAGTCCTACAACTAGGAAAGGTACTATAAAGGTGTCAGGGATGAAGAATCATTGGGAGAAAACAATTGACGCTCATAAGGAAGAATGCAAAAAGTGAATTCACGTAATTGTTTGTAAATATTAGCTAGGATTGCTGAGCCAGCATTTGTGAGTAATAATTTTGGGAATGTTATGTAAATATTTGTATTATTGTATAAGTAAATGCTCTGATTATTTGTTTTGTTAATATTATTTATTATAAATTGTTTATTTACTATCTTAGCTATTTAATTATGAGTGATCCTGACAACCAATCAGATTGCATTGGTTCCTGTCTAGACACAATCCCAGCAACACAGCCACTTCTCAACTATGGCGCCTCTTCTGGCGGCAACAAACATTCCAATAAGTCAATCAGTTTCCTGTCTGTATCCCCCAGCTGTGATACAGGATACAAATTGATTGGTCGAGATTGTTGCAAGAAAAATCGCACATTTAGTTTCCACATAAATGCATTACCTAAAGAAATTCTTTTGAAGTGAGTTTATTTCCGTTAATTAAACTTAATTATATTCATTCATTCTATTTATAGAATGTTCAGCCAATTAGATGTTGTGTCTCTCTGTAGATGTGCTTCTGTATGTAAAGTTAGTTCCGTAATTGGTTCCATATTACACATTCCTATAATATATCCATATTGTGTGTATAGTTATGGAGTGAGTTAGCTATGGATGGATCCAATTGGCAGAAAATTGACTTATTTGAGTACCAAATTAATATCAGAACTTCGGTAATGAGACCAATTAGCAAGAGGTGTGGCGGATTCCTCCGGTCCCTGTCCCTTAGATGGTGCAAGAATGTAGAGGATGACTCACTGAGGTCTCTGACTAAGTACTGTCCTAATCTGGAAGAGCTCGACCTAAATGGGTGTATTGCAATCACTGATAGGTAATTTGTTTGTTTATTTGTTTATTTATTGTTTACATTATACTATTTAGTGCTGGAGTATATTTATCAGAGAGATGTAGAAAACTAAAGAAATTAGACATTAGGAGCTGTACAAGGATAACAGACATAACTCTATCACAGCTGGGGTAATCTATGACATATTTCAAATTCCAATTACTGATTTAGTTGCTATATTATAATAGACAGGGCTGTCCTCTGCTTGAGAATGTATCTCTATCTTATTGCAGTCAAATAACTAACAAAGGATTATACAGATTAACACAGAACTGTGTTAATATTACTAATCTGCATCTAGACTACTGCGCTAATGTTAGTTAATTAAATCTACATATATCTTATAAATGTTTTCGTTATTTGTTTGTTATAGATTGATGACGTAGGACTAACTCACATCGCTAATAATTGCCCGCGTTTACACACACTTTCAGTAACCTTCTGTATGGTACGCAATTATA